AAGAGAAGAAAAAAAGTTGCACCTGGTTAAGAACTTGTGATGCTACTGCACTGGTGTTTTGGAAGACCAGTAATTTTGCCTGCCGAACCAACAAGCTTGATGTACTGCAATTTTTTAAGAACTGGCTTTGTAGATTTTACTTTTAATTAGAAGAAATGCAGGAGACAAGGCTGACTTCATGAAGAAGTAAATTATATTGAATATATAATGTAACATGTCCAAAGAATAACTTGTGTGATGGGGATGGAATTTTTCATTTATGACTTAAGGTGACTTGTGGAATGAGAGAGAACGGATTCTCCTTCGGAATAATGGTAAAGAATAGCTTCATATTAGGGTTTAGTATTCCAAGTCCAAGGATAGAAGTGATGAATCTATGAAACGATTTTAGAAATTGAAGAACTGGAAAATTTGGGAGAAAAGAGGGTTATGGTAGAAATTGATTTATAGTATTAAGTAAAACAGTAACTAACTTTGAGTGTATATTTTTCTTTTATAGTAAAAAGTTTAGGCTTCGTTTGATTCACTATTTTGATGGTTTTTATAATAGTGTTTTGAAAAAAGTAAAGTAAAGTTAAGTTGGGTTATTTTTACGAGAAAAGTAATTATTGGGTGCATTTGGTTTATTATTCTAATACTTTTTAGAATAATATTTTGGAAAAAAAAAAGTAAAATGGGTGTTAATTACGAGGTAGGATTTAAAAATTAACAGGAATACCCCCTAGGTTTGTTAATTTATAAACACCTCCATAATAAAACATTGAAAATTAACAAAAACACCCCCACCTACCCATTAAATACTGGTAGTCAGCCACCACCACCAGAGGGTGGCAGGAGTTGCCATATCAGCCCACGATCGGCTGGATCTGATCGGTCGTGCCCTGATATGACATTTTCCAACTAGATCCACAGTAGATTTGATTGAAAAAGGTTATATGTACAGCTAGATCTGGCCATTGACGGCCAGATTTGACCTATTTGGTCATCAACGACAGCCAAAGATATGGTCATCATTGATGGTCAACGATGGCCATATCTTGGCCGTCGTTGATGGTTAGCTATAGCCAAAGATTTAGCCTTTTTCGGCTAAGTCCACAGTAGATATGACCTAAAAAGGTTAGATCAACGCACTACTAACCAGATCCAGTCGGTAGTGTGCCATTATACCATATTTTGGCCACCTTCTGACGGTGGTTGCCAGAATCTGGCAAATGTGAGTTGGTAGGCTTGTTTTTGTCATTTTCTAAAAAAAATTGGGGGTGTTTAGTTAAATTAACAAACCTAGGAGGTTTAAAAATAATTGAATAAAGTAGAATAATATTTTTCAGAATAAAGAAACAAATGTGTATTTTTGATAGGATAGGGGAAAAATTGTGAAACAAATGTACTTTGTTTTGAGTTGAATAAAGTTGAATTAGATTTTGAGAATATTGAAACAAATATATATATATTTTTTTTGGATTTTAGGATAGGATAATGGAACCAGATAGGGTAAAAATAATGAAGTTAAAGTCAAAGTCAAAGTTAAGTCAACAAGATTCTAAACATAAAGCTGACGTGTATACAAAGACTTTTCAAACAAAAGACTAAAGCTAAGATTGATTTTACATTCAAGAATCTATGCAAAGTTCATATTATGATTTAACTTTCACCCAAGCGTCATTCACAAAAAAAAATAAACGTGATTATTCAATGACTTAATTATCAGTTCATATAAAATTAGGATAAAATATTTGCTTTCAGTATAATTTTTTTTTTTTTTTTGTTTTTTGCTTAAATTTTATTATTTATCTGTAAAAGGTAAATATACATTAGAGATTTTCATCTCATTACAGTAACACATTATAGGACATTATATAGTATTATCATAGATACATTATAGGTATTAAATTAATTTGTAATACAATGTAATAATGATAAATATAAAATTATTTTCATTCTCTCTTTTGTGTCAAGTGAACCGTCTTTCTTCAGTTTTAGAGCACTTGTAGAAAACCCAAAAGAAATTCTAAAAATAGACATAATTTTCTCATAATTAACACAATGATACAATATAAACAATCTTAACTCTATATACATAAAATTACTAACATAATTATATTCTTCATCTTCACCTAAATCAGCGAGAGCCAAAGAGCCGAGAAGTTGATAGGTTTTTCTCATGCTGGAAGTGCCGGTCCCCAAAACCTTGATCTTGTTCAGGCAATAAATATTGCTGACCAAAACCTAGTTCTTTTTCAGCTTTGGAAGATTTCTCAAGAAAGAAATCCTTCGGCCGGTTTGACCCTTGCGATGGATCGATCACATTTTGTTGTTGATATTGTTCACTCAAGCCCAAATGTGCCATAAGAACACATATATGAGTGAGCAACTCCCCACCTTTGATAAGTTGTTTTCCATGCTCTTTCCATCCGCAACTATTTGCAGCATATGTCAACATTTCTGTCCATACTTCACTTATCATCTTCCATACCTCTTCTTTCCTCCCAACATAATATCCAGATTTCAATTCTTGCAATTGCTTGGCCAGTCTACTTCCACTATATAGCACAGATAAACTTCCAGGTTTGTCCCTCACATTAAGCAACATACCACAGGCTTCATTTTTTGAAATATTAGACATATTTTGCTTCTTCATTTCTTTTTCAAAGAATCTCAGAGCCTCTGCACAAGTTTCCTTATACCTTATTTCACCAATCCCTTTGGGCAACATATTTGGACACATAACTAACAAATACAACATATAATCCGATAGTCGCTTGCTCATTTTACAATTTACAGGAATTCCATTATCATCATCTCCGTTGTCACCATAATCAACATGATAACAAATATCAGTGGCAATGTGCCAAACAAGAAGGCTATGATCAAAGTCTACATCAATTGTACACCAACGAAAGTTATCAAGAAAAGAAAACGGAAAAGGAAATATCCTACCTCTATTTGCTAATGCATTATCACCTCTCTGAGCTAACAATTTTTTGCATCGCTTGATATTGAAATGATCACCTTCAATTTTCTTGCTGTTCTCCATGATCTTCTTGAAGATCATTTCTTGTAGATCAATATTCACATCCTCCCAAGTCAAATAATGAAACTTCTCTAAAATTTCTTTGATGCCAAATAACTTCGGAACTCTAATAGGTTTGGATGATATCTCTTCCACACACAAACTTAAAAAGTTGTACTGACCCATGGACTCTGACCACCTCCTACTGTTGGTCGAAAGTAAAACATTGGAAACCAAATTACCACCGGAAGTAAATATACGCTTGGTCAACCAAACTTTTGTCCAGTCAGAAAACAGAAGCATGATAAACGCATAAACCTCCAGAAAAACAGCACCGAGCAGGAGTACATAAGTTATGGAGATATCGATTGATGAATATGCATGTTTATCAATGAAGAATAAGAAGACAACCGATACAGAAACATTGGAGAAGAAGCAAAAGCAACGAAGAAAGATTCCGAATCTGGAATAAATCATGTTTGCCTTGGTGTAGAGCAGATCATACATTAATCCAAGCTCAACGGCCACCAATTTGAAGGCATGTGTAGCTGACTTGCTGTGAATGAAAGAGTAGCTCTCCTTTCGGTCATTATGATCAAGAAGTAAGTCTGCAAAGAGACACCTTAATCTCTTGAATAACATATTGGCCTCAACCAAATAATAATCCTTCGGACTAGTGCCTTCATCGTTTGACACAGCTACTACTGTTGTTGATTCCTTATGGTGCAACTTCTCTCCACGACCAGTTTTAGGTGGAGATGAGCGCAAAGAATCTTTAAATTGCTTAGCACTTGAAGACCGAAGCACAAAAGTCCTTTCTCCATACTTGATAACTCCAGTGATAAATACTGGAATGGTTAGGAATCTAAAAGTTGTATTGTTGTCCCAGGAGTATCGGACGAAGATGATAAATGCTACTCCAACTTGGACTACAAGCCCATGTAAGTGCCTTAACCACAACTCATTGTCTTCTAAAGAGTAAGCTGTGATAGTATCCGGGCCACCAAGATGCAAGAGAAGGAACGGCGCCCAAAATGCTTTAAGTACGTTGTTTGATTCCAAAGAATTATCTTCAAGATTTCCTTGGCTGCGGGCGAGGGTGCCCAAGGCAACAGTTGCCACCGAATCTGCTGTCAAGTATGCCAACCAAACAAGGACACTTATCCAAATTCTTCTTTGATATTTTCGTCGAGAACCAAATATAATGAGGATGATCTGTAAAAAAAGGCTTAGTAAAACTATCAATCGAACTTCATATCCGTTCCAAAGTTGGATGACTTTTTCGGAAATTGCTTGCCAGACCATGATTCTTCTATTGAAAACTCAAACTGCACAGGGCTGAATTTTTTTCTTAAAAAAAAAAAAAAAATTAATTTCAATATGAAGCTTATGTTAATTAATAGTGATGAATAAATTGTTATGACGTGAATAAGGCGAGATGATGCTTTTATTGAATTTAAATATATAACCAATGGTGGAACTAGAAAATTGTATTTCCGGGGGATGAAGTGTAGAATTTAGAAAATAATATGGGGTCAAACAAGAATAAATTCATTTTAAGTGGTAAAATGTAAATATTTTTATGTAAATTTTCAAAAGTTTCATTGGACCTGGGTGACCATGGCCCCCCTATGTAATCCAAAAATGAAGAAATTGTATTAGATTAAGGGCTACCAATTTGTGTTACATTAACTTGATCGCGTAAATATAGATAAAGACAATGTTTGCAAGCATCATACAACATAAATTATAAACGATACGAAGTGCAAAAACATAACATTTATAAATATATGTGTATAATTTTATACTAGTATTTCTATTCAGTTTTCAGATAAAATAAACAAACTAACCAAGTACATCTATATATATCCTTGCAATAGTTTCTCCATTATCAGTCCAAGTTTATTTAGAGTCGATAAGAAAAATGAAGTCTTTATAAAAATAAATAAAAAAATTAGTATTTACATAGACTTGCCAAAGTAAATTGATTATAAGGTCAATTAACAGAGAAGAAAAAAGATGCACCTGGTGAAGCACTTGTGATGTTAGCCTGCTGAACTAACAAGCTTGATGTACTTCAATTTGTTGAGAACTGGCTTTGAAGATTTTATTTTTGAATAGAAGAAGAGCAGGAGACAAGGCTGAACTTAGAGAAGTAAATTGCATATGCAATGCATGCAACATGTTTAAGGAATAACTTGTACGACAGGGATGGAATAACAGAGAATGCATTCTTCTTCAGGAATAATGGCAAAGAATAACTTCGTATTAGACTTTAATCCAAGTTCAAAGATTGAAGTGAGGAATCTATGCAATTTAATTTCACTCAAACGTTGTTTACTAAAAGGATCACTACTTAATGGACTTAAGTATCCATGTCGTGCAATATTATGTTTGCTTTCAGTATAATAAATTTTTAGCTTAAATTTATCTTATGTATCTGTATTAAAAAATTATACTTATACAGCACAGATATTCATTTTATATTAGTAGTAAAAATAAATGCTTAGAGGTGTTGCATTTGAACCCTATATATATAGTCTTTACAAAGACTTGCCAAAGTAAATTGACTATAAGAAAAAAAAAAAAAAAAAAAAAGAATTAGACGGATCATCATCTGGATTATGTTAGTATCAACAAAAAGATGAATATATTTTTTAACCATGGAATGGATTAGTATTAGATTTCAAAATATAAGAAAAAAGAATTAAGCACGTTTAAATAGGTGTAAAATGTAATAATATTTAATTTGATTTTTCACATAATTCACAGATTTATTTGTGGGTTTGTCACGTGGTTATGTTTGTGTAATATTATTTTTTAATTAATAAATAATTTATTGAGAATATTTGGTGGGTATAAATAACTCTGCCCTTTTTATGATTGAGCGGGCCGTATAGTTATATACTCTCATAAATCTATTTATAAAACTATTTTTCACACCTATGTAATAGATTAATATATATAGAATTCAAATATTATGAAATCCTTCTAAAAATTAGACAAGACGGGGTACTTAGAAAAAAGGAACTCCTCCTTCAATAGTCCATGAAAAACTACCCTTATTTTAAGTAAAATATTACGACACTACCCTTTTAAAATAATCCTTTTAGACTTGCGTATGTTATTGACGTGTAAAGTTTAAACCTCAACTGTATCTTCCTAAAAGTAATATGTAAGAAAGCTACATGCTGGGCATTGAAATCAGTTTCACTTATGAACATATAAAATTTATTTGTGAAGAATTCAGCAAGTTGGAAATTATTCATAATAATTAGTCTTTACATAGACTTGCCAAAGTAAATTGACTATAAGCTCAAAATTAATACTAGCTTAAGTAACAGAGAGAAGAAAAAAGTTGCGCCTGGTTAACAAGTTTGATGTACTGCAATTTGTTGAGAACTGGCTTTGGAGATTTTATTGTTGATTTTAAGTAGAATAAAAGCAGGAGACAAGACTAACTGTTCCTTTATAAGGAAGGACTATTTCTCATTAAGAAACAATCATTTTCTTATGAAGTAGCAATCATTCTTTTATAAGGTATGACAATGTAAAGGAATAGTTATATCATCACAAGGTATAACCATACCTTATGAAGGAATGACCATAACTTCATAAAATAAAAAATGACCGTTCCTTCATAAGGTATCGTTCATTTATAAGGAAAGATCATTACATAAGAGAGGAATAGTTGTTGTTTAAGAGAGGGATGATCATTTCTTCATGAGGAACAACCATTTCTTTATAGGGAACGAGGAATGGTATGAAGGAACGATAATTTCTTAGGTCTAGTCAAAATCATTAAATTTTGCGTCTTGGGTGTGGTGGAGCTGATGTGACAATTCCAACTTAATTGCCATAATGGGTAGGGATGGGCATAAAGCCCAGGCCCGCAGGGACCAACCCCACCCCGAGCGGGGCGGATTTTCCCTGAATCATTCGGGCTTTGAGCAGGGATCGGGCTTAAAATTAGTCCCGAAATTCTGGGACGAGTCAGGGCCGGGATAGGTCTTGCCCGCCCCGCCTTGGCTCATATATATATATATATTAAATTTTAATGTTTGAAAATCGATCATATATTATACAATGACAAATTATAATTGTGTAAGTATTTTATGAAACCATATACAAATAGATAATAAATAAAACTAGATTAAATATAATAAATAAATAAAATTATATATATATATATATGTTAATGCTATAAAGCAAAAGTTATACATTTGACATTATACATTATACATTATATATGGTATACATTTGACATTATACATTATATATTATAAATTATACGTTATATATAGTATATACTATATAAGTATAATGCATATGACATATATATGTTATGCATTATATATAATATGCTATTATCTATAATCTTATGTTACTACATAATATATATGTAATATATCATTTTGTGTTTTGATTGGTTATAATGAATCAATAAATCATTATAATTTTTTTTTTTTTTTTTTTTGAATCATTATTTCAATTCTATTATCTAATTGCTCTTGTTATATTATGATTATAGCTATTTATTTAGAATTTATTATAATATATATAGTAGTTATTTATTTAGAATTTATTATAATATATATGTATAATGTATCATATGTAATACATTATATATTAAAGAGACATTATAATATAAATGGTGTAATTTATTTAGAATTTATTATAACACATTATATATTATGTCACATATTATAATATATTATCAATTTAATATTATGGTTTTTATATTTAATATGTAAATTATAGATTTAATTTCTTTTTGAATGGTATGGTCCTTATGTTTAATATGTGCATTATATATTTAGTTTCTTTTTGATTGGTATATTATAATTTGGAGAAAATGGTTAAGGATACAAAAAGACACAAAACCCCCAAACAGGGAATTCGGGGAACAGGCTTTATTCGGGGATTCCCTGAATTCCTTGAACGAGCTTCGGGCCGGGATCAGGAAATCTCCATGGGCTTTTGGGTTGGGGCCAAAGACAGGGATCCCCGGCCCATGCCCATCCCTAATGTTGGGGTTGTAAGGAAAGTTTGTGAGATTGGATTGTGGACGTAGTATTATTTTAACTACAGCCTATGGTTCTGGTACCATGAGACAATTTTGAGAGAACTGAAAATCTAGAAAAGAAGCAAATTTTGATCTTTGTAACAGAAAAATGATGCTCTACAGTTTATATACATAGCACAGTTGACAAATTGGCAATCCGAGTGATGTGCCATGTCAACAAACAACAATTAGAAAGCACAAAATACATGACAAATTCTATTCATGGAGAAATAGTGATTTCTATAAAAACGCCGAGTTTAAACTTCTTCCCAACACGCACCATTTACTTACCCTACTAACAACAACATAACAGTAGATTTAAATTTCGATTAGTTTTTATTCACTTTAACAATCTTCAGTGAGGGATGCAAATGGACCGATTTGTATGCTAGCAGTTCAATGTTCGTTCGATAACAACTTGACTTGACTCGATAACAAAAGGTTTGAGTTCGAGTTCGAGTTCGTTCGATTCAAGATCGAACAAGGGGTGTTCGTTTGATTATGTTTGTGAACATAACTCCGTTCAAATGATCCATCTGTTCGTGAACACTCCTCTGTTCGATTTTTCATTCATTTATGTTTGAAAACATAGCATACATTATTATATATATTTATATGGTGCTAAATTTATCAATGATTTTCTATGGCTTAGTGTTAAAAATGCAATTTTTTTGACTTCAAGGTCCTTAGTTCGAGTTGCATTAATATCATGTTTATAGTTTTCATTTTTTTCTTTTTTAAACTACGCTTGGTCCAGTTTAGATGAATTTTTTTTAAATATATAATATGTTTGGATGATTTTTTTTTTTTTTTCAAATGTAATCAGTAATTAAATATATGAGTATATAGTGTTTCAATTAATAAATAATAAATATAGTAGAGCAAATTGATGAACATAACATATTGTATAATCAAGTGATATATAGCATGTCAAATGTTATATATATATATATATTACAAATTTATAATAGACTCTCATTCTATTATATAATACATGACTTGTGATTGCCTGTCCATGATGATTGATGGGAGAAAGTGATTGAGCATAGACTGATAGTTCAATTTACAAATTCCTTTTGGTTGTGATTATTTGTTTTTATTGTTTTGTTCAATTTATTTTGAAGTTTTATTATTTATGATGACTATTTATTTTAATTTATTGAGTTTTGGTTGATTTATTTAAAGTATATA